AATGCTGGCTTACCTCTGCTTTACTAGGTAGCCACAGCTAACCTAGAATTATGTGACTAATGCTGGCTTACCTCTGTTTTACTGGGTAGCCACAGCTAACCTAGAATTATGTGACTAATGCTGGCTTACCTCTGTTTTACTGGGTAGCCACAGCTAACATAGAATTTTGTGACTAATGCTGGCTTACCTCTGCTTTACTAGGTAGCCACAGCTAACCTAGAATTATGTGACTAATGCTGGCTTACCTCTGCTTTACTAGGTAGCCACAGCTAACCTAGAATTATGTGACTAATGGTGGCCTATCTTTATTTAACTGGGTATATCTGTAAAGTACAGTAGTTCAACATTGGCTGTTCAGTATAACAATATTCTTCAGTCTATATACACAGTAAAAAACAAATGTAGGTTAGCTGTGGATAAACTGCTAATCTGTTGCTAACCAACCTTTACATCACTATATAACTAATGTTAAATTACCTTTATTTTTCCATAACTGTAATTGTCAAACTAATATTGAATTTTCTTTGTTTTAATATGTATTATAGAATACTGATCTTTGTTCCATTGGGTAGCCACTAATAAAATTAACCTGTCTTACTGTACAACTAATGCTGGTGTAACTTTCTATTATTGTGTAACCAATGCTAAATTACTTTAGTTTATAGACTGCTGAACTTTGTTCATCAGGTGCCCTCACTAACCATACTTTGTTTTACTGTAACCAATGCTAATACTGTCTTACTGTACAACTAATACTGGTGTAACTTTGTGTTATTGTATAACCAATGATAAATTACTTTAGTTTATAGACTGCTGAACTTTGTTCATCAAATGCCCACACTAACCATACTTTGTTTTACTGTAACCAATGCTGTGTTACCATGATTAACTATCATTGTTTTACTCTGTATATTTTATACTGTGTATGAGTGATAAACTACCTTTTATTTCGGAGTATACAGTGATAAAATACTCTGGTTCTACTGTGTATAGTTTGCTGGCCTTCAATTTAATGAATAGTTATTGCTAACCAACCACTGTTTTACAGTGCAGCCAATACGGAGCTACCATGGTTTTTATTGTGTGTAAGCTAGTAACCTTTGCAAGTCCATCACTGACTATAGTTTCTGACCTTTCTTTCTTTATTGTGTGACTGTACAGCTTCACAAAGTTTTACTTGCCATTAAACTAACTTCAGTTTTCCCTGAATGTTTTCTATTTTCCCTCATTCAGCCTATGTGAACATTTTCAAACTGTTAATTACATGTTTTTCTGATAGAACTAGGACATGTTCAAAATCCAATCTGTTTGAAATTCATATTTGTTACCAATCTTATCTCACCTTAAGTGTGTTGGAGCAAATCCCAACTGCAAGACAAAGAACTCCCTCATCAGTCATCTGAAATTTAATATTTTCATAATAAAAATATAATATAATTGGAATTTTTGTTCCTAATGGGATTACGTACGGTTTAATGTTATGAAACTCTTAAAAATATAATTGAAATAAGAGTCAAGAAATTATGTTTGAAAAAATAAACTTTACAATAAATTTATAGTATGAGCAAACATTATTAAACAATACATACATGTATATATTATCAAAACTTAAAATACATTGCTAAAATGTGTTTTACATATATCTAAAAATCATTTTATAAAGACTACATAGAAGAGAATAGCAGGAAAAAATAAAATCCTTGTTACGCAGTAGTATTTTAAAATAGAAGGAAATCATATTAAATATTGTTCAGAATAGACACCAATACTTTTTTTGCCCAAAATTATACAAAAGTATAAACATTGCTGACACTTTACCTCAGTCTGGGAAAAATTAATAGACTTTAGAAATGAGGAATGATTTCCTAAAGCCATTAAACTCTTGTCTGTTAGACCAGTGCAATCTCGGATGTTTAAGATACTAAGTTTACTGCAATATTTTGCAAGATGTTCTATAGCTTCATCAGTGACAGAAACACATCCTCTAATTTCAACTGAATAAAGATGGGTGCAGGACTTGAAAACTTCTGAGAGTCCTAGGAAAAAGAGTACAGTTATTAACAGTAAAGTACTACTATCAGTGATAAAAATCAGTTAACATATACACCAGAAATGGTTCAATTACAATTAGTTAACTACATACATAATTATTAACTAGTGTTTATCCTAAGCTTCATTTTCTCATCTGCTTCTGTCTTTTGAGAAGTCTTAAGAAGGACTATTTCAATCCTGGAGATTTCGAATAGAAGCCAGTCATTAGCAATTTGTCTGGGGCCTCTCCCATTAAGGCTTCTTTCGACTAACATATCTGAATGTGTTCATGAAGGATACTTTTGTTTTAATGACAGAAGTAGGTTGACTGAGTGTGTTATCAGTTAAGTGGATGTAGAAAGCTTTTTTTTATCAGTCTTCTTCTTGTGTATGGTACATATCTCATTATTTTAATATTATTCCAATTTATCATATCGTCTTCTAGGGAATGATGAGCTATGACAATCAGATTGGTACTAAAGTCTTGTATGTCTATTATGCTCCTGAATATTAACATCTAAATTACCTGAAAATGTATTTCTGATTGATGCTCATTTCTCCACAGAACAGATAGCTAATAATTCATGCTACTTCTGAAAATTTTTGTATGTGTGCCAAGCCATGTAATAGGTGTACTGTGTCAGACTATGATGCAATCAGCATTAAACTATTATACCCCTCTGCCAATAGGAGGGTGATACATCCTCCATATGCAGTACTCCCATTGAGCACTATGTGTATACCAGAAAGTTATTCTTGACAAGGCAAAAGAGACACAGAAATTGGGGAAGAATAATGGGTGGTTCTGTGAAGAGTTGAATATCTATATAAAATACATTTTAAGGTAAAGAAAATGTTAACTTCAGAAATGCTACTCACATCTCCACAAAACAGGTGGCTAGTCAGAGTTCCACACTGAAAAGTTTGTGGAGGGGCTGGTGCAGATGAAAAAATTAAAATGATGAGCTCCTTTCTCAGAATATAGTGACAAAATAGGAAAACTCATGGAATGCGTCTGTAATTTGGGGGGGGGGGGAAGAAGAACCTAATGGAAGCATCTTGTGGTGGGAAACAGCATCCAACTCAAGTAGGAAATACTCCTTGCCCAAAACAAGTGGTTGTGCAGAATGGTAGTAAAAAGAATCTCATGCACAGTACTAAAGTGTATGTATGTGTAATGTGACTAGAGAAATGAATCAAATCATAGAATATGTGAGAAATGCTTACATGAAATACCTACCAAAATAAGCAGATGCAGGAATGAACCATCCCAAAATTGCATCCTGCATATTCAACTCATTGGTAATAACCACCTGGAATAGGCTAATTCTTAGTGTAGGGGTGGTTTATACAATTTCCAGGTAAACCCTCTACCCTATTTCCAATTGTGGGGTTAATTCTTTTCAATCACAAACCAGTGGGATTACATTGATCCAAAGGGGAACTCCTCATGTCAGCCTCCCCAGCAAAGAAGAGAATGCGTAGAGGAGAGAAAACCAGAGAAGTGCGTGTGGACCAAAGAGATATCTATCATTTGCATAAAGTCCCACACCGGAAGACAGTGCAATGGGTTACCATGAATACAAACATCAGGAGTTGGCCAATTACAGGGTTCATACACTTTCTTACATGTGAAATTCCATGACTTTTCAAGCCAGAATTCCATGACTTTTGAACAAAGTTTTACATGGTAGACCAAAAAATTTGATCCCAAAGCGAAGCAAAGTGTATATACTGCACCGTCTCTTCTTTTGCATCCCCCCATTAACAACAACAAAATATTTACATTATGCATTATTTGTGGCATTTAGCTGATCAGTTTGTTTCTGAATGAGTTCTTCTTGAGACATCTTTGATGTACATCAGTAGCTGTTTGAAGTTGATTCAGCTTCTTCTGCAAACTTATCTGCAATGCAGAGTCTTAATTTATGAATTCTTGATGACATTGATCTGTTCATCAATTTGTTTCTGACTGATTTCTACTTTAGACATCTCCTCTACTGTACATACAGAGCTGTTAACACCCCTGTTAACATAGGAGACTGTTTGATTTTGATATACATGTCAAACTGTCAGTTGATTTAGCTTCTTCTGCAAACTTATCCACTGTGTCTTACTTTACGAATTCTTGATGATATTCAGCTGTTCATCAATTTGTTTCTGAATCCCTTCTAATTGGGACATCTTCTCCTTTGCTGTACGTAGGAGGCTGTTTGATTTGGATATACAAGTTAATCTGCCATTTGACTCGGCTTCCTCTGCAAACTTGTCTGCTGATTCTTGAAGACTTTTGATATCTGCTTGCAGTTAGACTTCTTAGCTTTCAGTTCATCTATCTCATCAAGCAGTCCTTTTCTTTTTCTTTCCTTCTTTTCCTTTTCATGTTTCTGCTCATCAAGATACATATGGTATTTTTGCCTACCTGCTGAAGCAGCTAACATGAGCGACTTGTCGATAATAATGTTCTGAATTCCTCCTGCATATTTGATATGATCATATATAGCCCTCAAAGATATTAGCGAGTGCCCTAGAAGATTGTCCTCTTCAACTTTGTTGTTGACGGAGAATCCTCTTTCAGTAGAGGCTTGTCCATGGGACAAGACAAGCAACATGCGGACCACCTTTAATAAAGATGAATAGCGAGACTCAGACAGAAATGTGCACATCAGAGAGTCCAGTTTGTCTTTCTTCAGATCAAATTCTCTCATCTCTGCGCTTCTTGATGCCTCATCACATGCTTCTGAGTATTCTCTTAGGATGTCATCACATGAATCCTCATGTCTGTTTGCATCAGTAAGGGAGCTAAGCATCCTTTTCAGCTTTGCAGTAGTGTTTTCTTTGTCTTTTGCCATGTTCTTTGGATTTAAGCATCCCATATTTCTCACAAGTGCATACTTAAGCGGACATCTGTCAATGAGCTTGCGGGTCATTGCAGCAAGAAACTGTTTTGCTTGGACGCGAAATTCCAGAATCCTTCGCTCAATGATGATGTTTTTTGCTTTCAGATCCTTTAGCTTTTTCTCAGTGTAGAATCCAATATCGACCTTGATCAAAGGCAGCTGAATGGCCTCGCTGCTAATATCTACCTGCATTATCTTGTAAGGAGAAGTAAGGGTACTCCTGTCAAGTTTTAAGAATCACTGCATAAGGGAAGCAAGCATTCTGGTTTGCTCTTAGGCTAAGAAGGGCAACATTGGCACATCAGTTTGGTAGTCTGTTAGAAAGGGATTGACCAACTTTGCCACCGATATGAAAAAGCTCAGTCTTGCTGGAAAATCAGCCATCTTGGTACACTTCTGAACAGTTTCAAATGACTTGTTCTTTGGGTGAGAGATTTTCTTCTCTTCAACTGCCTTAACATACATACTCCCAGATGTTGATCGCTCTCTCTGCAAGAGGAAGATCTTCCAGCCATCGAGTCTTGCAAAATTTGAGTGGCATAGTATGATCTCCAGTTATCTTCTCATAATCCTCTCTTCTGACTGGGGCATCAGCAAACAAATAATACAAGGATGATAGGAAGCTCTCTACCTCCCACTCAGCAGCCTTGGCACCTGTTAGAAAAGCACCATTAACTATATGGAGCCCACACGAGCCCATGTTGAGTACGGAACGGTTCACTTCCGATTTGTATTCTCTTGACAAATCATCATACATTTTCCAATTTACATTCGGACCATCCATACTAATTTGCAATAATTTTTCCAACCCTACTCTGTGAGGAACTTTATTCAGTTCTTCCTTGAGGTGAACAGCTGTACCATGTCCTATGAAGACTGATGTCAAGTGGTGAGTGCAAACTTCATTATGCTGCCAT